CATTTGAGGACGTCATCTTGTTCTTTGGGAAACACTGATTGACCTTTTTCCCTATTTGACGTTTCAGAGAACTGGCCGTGGTTTCAGAATCAGGTGTTCAATAATCACATGGTTGCAGTGTTCAGGTGTCCACATAGCAGAAGCTGTTTTACTCATTTAGAGCCCTTTGAATAATTCCAGGATTTGCTAATGATTACAACTTCTGTCTCGAGTGATGCTGCTCATCTTTACGGTTCCAGTCCAGAGTTGCATTAACGGCATCGTTCACAGCAAACTTCCTCGTCAGCATAACGCAAGAACAGTGACGTGTGACTGTGACGCTTTTTTACGGAAGAATCCAGCTGAGAGGGGGAAGTAGGAGACGGAGTGTGCAGGGATGCTAACCGTAACTCTGACAGATCATTCGTTTTTTTTACCACCACAGCCGCCAGATGTTTCCTCTGGATGACTAGCTGACGGGGACGTTCAGTGACAGATCTGCAGACACATGCTGACTGTGTGATCACAGAGATTCCTGTCAGGTTCCTTTTGTTGGTTTATCCAACAGGGACGGTGCACGTTAGTAACAGAGCCGCCCTAAAGTGTGAGAATAGGGGTGAAATTACAGAATTATTGCAAAAAATGTACGATGTGTAGAAAAAAGTAAGGTACGATCTAAAACATACATCAAGCAGCCTCATAATAAAAAATCATGCAGAGCAATAAAAAGAGACTAAACAAAACCACATTGTGCTTCAGTGTCAGACGCTAAATCACACAAAGCAGAAGCTCAGACATGAAACGCACACACAGTATATAAAACGCATAAATCTGTCCGAGACAGCAAAAGCAAAACCGCAATCAGGCACGAGAACAGCAGATGATCGCAGACGGCAGAGGAAGTTCAGATCAGAAACACTGCAGAGAGTTTTATTGCTGACGGAGCTGAAGGTTAATGAACTTTATTCTCTCTTCCAGGTCTTTAAAATTGACGTGCTGATGAACGGCAGACAGCACACGGTGGAGAAGCGCTACAGTGAATTCCACGCTTTGCATAAAATGGTGAGATGTCGTTTGTTGCCTGGTTTTATCATCAGTGTGTTTCTCCCTTGAGTTCATGGAGTCTTTAACCTTTAATATGTGGACACCATGTTGTATTATATCACCATATTCAGCACTTTTTTCTCTGACATTTGAGTTGCAATATCATGACTCAGCGTCTGTGGTGTTTAATGTGCTGCAGTGTTTAGATCAAACCTCTGAACAATTGTAGTATTTGATCATAACATTAGGTAGTTTATTAAATCACAAGTCCAGCTTGTTCTCTGCGTGGACGTGAAGCTTCTTCTGTGTTATTTTAAAGTGAATCCATTTCATTTAGTCCGGGACACGAACCGGCGACCTTCTAGCTGCGAGGCAACGGTGCTACCCACCGAGCCACCTTGCAGCCCCCAGTTCAATACTCCCTGTGTAATACATATGAGGCAGTTATGTTGAACATCACCGTCCCACGTGGACGCTTTGGATCAGACCTTCTGCAGAAACTACATTCTAAACTTCAGTCTTTGTGATTGCTTCAAAGTGAGGTTTCCCATTAATTGTTTCACCCTCGTAGCCGCTAGGCGGGTGCTTTTTATTTATTTACATGGTGTTTAGTGTTTCCTGTGCACAGTTATAAAGCTCATATACAGCAAATTACAGCGACAATCAGTTTGCTTGTTGGTGGTTAACCGTGTTCACCACACTGGTCTGTTTACAGATGAGTTCCTCGTTGTGTTCGGCTCGTTCGGCCGCACGGTGTTGGAAAGCAGCTCCACTCCAGTTAGCTTTAAGTTCTAATTACGTTTGTTATCATAATAGTAACTCTACTGTTCCGTTTGTCTTTTATTGTCAACGGTTCTTCATTGTTCTCATTTTGTTTTCCAGATCATGACTTTCCGCTTGAATAACTTTAGAATATCTCCTCTTTTTTTTTTTAAACCTAGTCTACCCAACAATCAGTTTTGACACTTAAGCTCCACTTAAAAATGTTTTAATTTCATTGCATTACAGAACAAAACATCAAAGCAAATGTTCTTAACAAAAAAGTAGCACAAGCACAAAAAATTAGACTGCAAAAGCTGCAGTTACACTTTAAAGTGAAGGGAAATGAAGCCAGTGGATGTGCAGTAGTGGCTTCAGAGGGATCACAGTTCCTGGGTTTTAGTTTTTATTTAGTTTTAGCTTCTATTTTGTTGATGAACTGACATTTTTGCCAAAGGAGCTCTGCAGGATGTAGGTCAGAGCCCTTGGTAGGAGGGTTGAGGTTTGATTTTCTTCGGGCCACATGATCCCTTCAGCAGGCAGCAGGTGTTCTTTTGGACGTGGATGGAAAAAGTTCTTGGCTGATTTATTCAAGTTTGTATCCAGAGTTCTTCTGCACACTTCAGGTTTCATAAATCCATCAATAAAAAGTTCACGACTGAAGAAAAACAGCCCCAGAGCTCTGACATTCCCACCTCCAGGTTTTACTGCACCTTCAGCGCACTTTGACTGGAGTTCCTCACATGGATTAATCCTCACAAACCTTCTGCTGTGGACTCCAGCGACACCACTGTCTCTTTGTGCTTCATTTTTTAGCAAATTTACTCGTAGTTGTCAGATTCTTCTGCACCAGTTCTCATTGATCTTGTTGAGAACAGTCTGTGCACTTAGAGGAGATCCTTGATGCTGTTATCACCACTTTTTCTTGATTTTTTCACACAGTTGTCCAACATACTGCTGGTGTTTAGAGGTCTGTGGTCCGCTCTCAGTGACAAGTTAAACATTTTTTTAACTTTCGGACGGTATACCCACCTTTATTAAATTCAATTCAATTCAAATAACTTTATTCATCCCCTAGAGGCAATTCAAAAAACGTATTGGAGGATTGGATGTTGAGTTGTTTTTTTCTTTGGTTAACTGGCAACTAGAGCATCCTTGTTTTCTGAGTTCATGTCACGTATCATCGCTGTTTTTGCTGCAGTTTTTCATTTAAAATACATGCATGGTCCTATTTCTTCCACACATATAGTTCATTATATTAATTATGGCGTGCTCCAGTTTGACAGTCTGAATGTAGAGGGACAACCTTATGTTAGTAGAAAACATCTGTTTGTTTAATCTGTGTTTCGATGCTTCAACTATCAGTTTATGTGAAGTTTGATGTTATAAACCTTCTGTGCCTTGATGAAGTTTATTTGGGACCAGTGTGTATTTACCATTTTGAAATCCCTTCAGCTAAAGAAGAGCATAAAACCACCTGAAATCCCCTCCAAGCATGTCAGAAACTGGGTTCCCAAAGTCCTGGAGCAGCGGAGGCAAGGCCTGGAGCACTACCTGCAGGTACTTCTTGCCTCAGATGAACAGCTAAATCGTTTTTCTAATAAATGTCTTTCAGCTTTTGCCAAATGCAAACTTAGTCTAACTCAAAAGTAAACACACAAACTGCCGTACAGACGTGGGGAGGTTAAGCAGACTCGCTAGAAGGAGGTCACTCAGAGCTCCACTGCTGCCTCACATTCAATTCTGCTTCTTTGTCAGACTATAATTATGGAAAATGAGGTTCTTCCAAAGATATTCCTGGATTTCCTGAATATCCGCCATTTTCCTTCGGTGCCAAAAACAGAGAGCTGTGGGTGAGTTGAAAGTGCAGGTTTTCTAAAAAGTCAAAAAGGCCAATTTGTGGCTTTTTGTTTTGTTTTGTTTTGTTTGTCAGACAGTTTGTTCCCAGCCTAGTGGAGCGTTCACTTTATTTGTTTTCTTTTCTTCTTAAAGGTCATTCGATACAGAATCGGAGGAATCGAGGTGAGTCACATCGTTCCTGTTTTTTTTTTTTCGAAGCAGATGTTCGAAACGGCAGCTCACGTTCTCGTTTTGTACTTTAACCAGTCAAACCTTTAGTCACTGTTTGCTCTGCGCTTGAACTTTACTCGGCATTTCGGTGACGCCACCGATTTCTTCGACTGTACGCTGCCCCGCAAAAACCTCCTGACTTCTCCTTTTTGGTTTCTTTTCAGTAAACTTTCACACCAGCCAGTCATGCTGTTTCTGAGGGACCCCTACCTGCTGCCGTCTGCTCACGGTGCGTTCAGGGTCCTAATAACCTCAAACACAGTCAGTCAGATCGCACAGTTGAGAAGATCATGTATAAATCACTACTGTATAAATCAAAAAAAGTTTTCCTTCTTTACTTTCAGATACATTTTCCAATGTCGTGATCGAAGGCGTGATACACGGAGTTTTCTATCCAGACCTTCAGCCGAGGTAGAGCCGAACCGGAGGGGGGAGTCGCCGCGAACGGATGCTTCGTACTTTTGCACCATTTTAGGTGTGCGTCAGGAAGAACATAACACGATAACGTAGACTGAGCCTCATTCACATCCAGCAAAGCATTTAACACGAATCCATTTTTTTAAAAAGAGAAAAGAAAGGGCGCCTGATCTCAAAAGAAACCCCCAACACACACACACTACGTCTTCATTTGTCTCTGCAGTCACTAACGTTCACAAAATAGTTAAGAACATATATAAGCTATAAGATTTAACTTCACGTGAAACACTTTGACAGGTTAACTTATATGTTTAGTGACGTAACGATCAAAATAATTAAGAATTAAGAAGATTTTCAGGAAGCTTAAGACCTGAAAAAAACATACAGGATCAACTGGAAGTAGAAATAAGAGGCTCATCAATATAGGAAACACTTGAAAGGTGCTTTTTTTTTTTTTTTTTTGCATGACCCTTCCACTTTAGGGAACCAGATAAGAAATGATGAACTGAAGGCTGGTTTGCCAGAGACAGAGGAGCATTTCTGACCTGTTAGGACCAAGTCCAGGCCTGAGCTGTGCAGCTGGATGGATCATCACGGCCTGCAAACACTGGGGTGCCACTCCCTTTGTTGCGCCAGTGATGTGGTTTTGATTTTATTTGTTTTGAGCTGCTGAACGGTGCCAACAGAAGGGAGTGTAGCGGGCAAAAGGATTCGAGAGGGTGTTTTCTGCCGGAGTTGACGGCTACGTGCCACATGTTAGGGTGGAAGTGATCCGAGCTTTATAAATAGACCGAGGCAGTGATGTGGACCTCTTTGGTCGGAGCAGGAGACGTGTGACGAAGCGTCGCAGTGTTGACAGGGAGGTGAGTTTGGTGAGGAGGTGATGAACTCGAGAGTTTTGGGGGCAAAAAGCCGCTCGGAACAGAAACCACACCAGACAGAGGTATGCGGGTGAAGAAAGACGTGTTTAGCTGGAAGTGGGCGTCATCGGAGTTGTAGAAATCAGATGCTGACAGAGCGGTGGGTTACTGTAAATCCAGGCTGCTTCTCCTTTTCCTATTCATAGCTTCAGCGAGATATGAGTCTTTAAAGAGAGCAGATTAGAATCGTCGTCATCCAACACGACACACGACTACTTAGGCAATAAAGAAAAATCTAAGTAAGACATCTAAATCTGGTTGTAGCCTGCATATAATGATGTCAACTCAAGAAATAAATCTGTGTATTAATCATTAGATTAAGTCTTGAGCTGACAAAGTCCTGTTCAACTGCCCTAAGTCTCACAGAACCCGGCTTCAGACGCTGCAGATTTTCAATGAAAGGCTTTAGTTTAGAGTGCATGAATGTGAGGATGACGTTGATTTGAGTTTTGATGAACAACCAGCATCTAACACTGACACGATAATGTTGAATTTACACATAATGTAGAAGGCCAGTTGTGAAGTTGTGGTGAACAGACACAGTCGCCAATCATGTGAAGGGATGCAAAGGGTGTTTTTTTTTTACAGGGAATATTTAAAACGAGACTTACAGTCAGTAACATATTGTGCAATACAGATTAAAACATGATGTTGTTCCTTGCGGAGCCCGACCAGAACCTCTGACATCAATAAATCAGCCGATTTTCTTTATATAATAATAATAACAACATGAAAAATAGGAAGCGATGGGGTCATTGGAAAACATAAAGTAATAGCAGTTTTCTGTGGAGAGACCGCTCGACTCCGCACCCTCACCTGCTCAGCTGTGATGCGTACTCTGCTACATGTGCTGCAGACAGCGCTGAGGGAACGTTGCTGCTCTCCCAGACAACCTTTCACTATATCGAAATGACCCCAAGCGTCTTCTCCTGCCGTAAAACAAGCATATCGGACGACGGATGTCCAGTATCGAGCGATAACCGTCAGATGTACGAATCGGTCGGCTCCCTGTGGATCCATCTCAACTCGTGAACACTCTGAATAACTCGTTGTGAAACTTGACGTCACTTTTTGGACCCGACAGCCTTCTAGAGCTTTCTCATGTGACTGGACCTCCACTACGCCATTTGTACAGAGTGAAATGAATCCTGCATAATAAACCTCAGCTAAAGAGATCATGATTTTATGTTTTAACACAGCAAATCATTTCCTAGAAATCCACGTTGTGAATGTTTGTGAATTCATATCGAGTAACATTGCGCTCCCACTGTGTGAGTAGTGTCATTTCTGTGCCATAATGCCAACCTAAAGTGAACACTGGACTTCTACTGTAGCACTTTGAGATGGATGTTATGTAAAATACTGACACTAATAAAATTCATTATTTCCTCAATCCTAGTTGGAGATGTTTTGTTTT